CTTATTTTCTCTTCAAACACGCTGGTCTCTTATTTGCATTTCCTAATGAGTTCACTTCCCTGTCCTTTAGTTACTGTGCACTGACGAGCATGCCCACCTCAATGTTTTCTCATCTCAGTCTGTCTTCTCAGTCTTTGTTTATCCGCTCTCTCACCATGCACACTAGCTTTTTTCCTCTCTCCCCGCCTCTATCTCTCTCTCCACACCTAATTTTCCCTAACCTGCTAAAGTCAGTTAGGCTGTGTGATATCAGGCAGTGTGCCCAGTCTGTTGTGCGACAAAATTACTGTCAGCATGTGTGTGTGAGAGAGGGAGAGAGACACAAAAAGGTTTATCATTTTGGTTTTGGGTGGGTCATCTGCAAGATAATTATGTAGCGATTTGCAAAGCTGAATTCTTGCTTCATCCACCATATTCTGGTTATGGTTAATTAGCTTTGATGATGGTTGTGGTGCAGCATATACTCACACCAAAAGTGCTCAAACCTAGAGAGATGAGATGAGAACGAGCAAGGGATGATAAGCGTCAGATCTCCCTTGGGCTTTTCTACACTGAGTGCAATGCTTTAATATCTGTCCCAGATACAGACAGGAATCTATCAGATGGTGGAACCAGGTTTCTCATAAGCACAAATCTGCATGCAGTGGAGACCATCCAGACATTTAGCAGGGGAATTTAATCATAGCAACATATGCAATGTATGCCGGAAACAAGCTGAGAAATCCCACATCCCCACTAATTATCCCTACCTCGAGTTACTGGTTAGAATAAAAATTCAGCAGTTACAAGATCCATCTTCACCTTATTGAAGTTCTCAGATTAGGTGTCACTCTCAAGAAAAGGACAATCCATTGATAGAGTAATTGGTTCCCTCGGCTCTGTGTTCAGTCAGTGTGAACTTTGACCAGTTGCTTGTTGACACCATTTGTTTCCCATCACCCCACTGCACATACATGTCAGGGCTGAGATGCGTTCAACAATATACAACTATTAAAACAGATGTTTTGTTCAAAACTGTTCTTAAAAAGCTTCAACACCAGATCTCCACTGCTTCAGAAATGCCACAGTTTAAAACCAGTTCCAGATTAAGCTATTTAATAGCTAGTGTAAATCTCTTTTTAGTCACTAGGGCTGTTAGAGCAAAAGCCTTAGTTAACCACTGATTTTGATCTTAACTGTCTGTCTGACAGTTAATTTAATGGTTTCTTTCCTGCTGTGTTCGGTGCATTTTGGTTCAGTACTTTTTGCGTAATCCTAAATAAACAGAAATGGGTGAAAACAGAACATGCTTGGTGGAGGTAAAAATATTTATACTTAATCATTTTTTGTGGTGTACAAAACAAGCAATGACATATGTCAAGAGGTGTAAATTGGGAAACAGATGGAAAACCTTTTTCGTCATGCAGAGGAAAGAATATTTCCTCATCCAGATGGTTAGAAGAGTGTTTGGGGATTTTGTAAATACTTTCAGTAACAATGGGAATGGTTGTTAAACATCCTTCTGGGTTCTTCAAAGTTTGTCTTATATTTATTTTTCAGGAAAACAGATGCTTAATTCTCTGACTCAAATGGAATGATGATTTAAGAGATGCACAAACTGGAGCGAGGTCCAGTCAGGTAGAAGTGAAATCCAGGCTTTAGAAACTCAGAAATTTAGTTGGTGAATCTGTGGATTTCTTCCATTGGCTGTGCAGGTTCCACTTCACAGCAGAAATGCCAGGTGAGGCCATTGCTTATCAATACCACTCTCAGCAGCTGGGGCTCCTCCATTGACTGACCTACTCTTCAATACATTAGCCGGGCAGTCTCTCCTCAGCTGACTGGAGAGACTGATAAATGGCTACGGACCACATTAGACACATAAGTACTTCTTTATATTGTTTGAATTGACTGGAGCAGAAGTGGGAGGGCAGATGTGAATGGAACTGGAGACATAGAGCAGGAACAGGCGACTATGACTGGAGTTTGTGGCTGTAAGATTTATACCTCCGCTTTCCTGTCCACACGCCAGTTACAAACCTCTCCCTTTATTTCTCCCCCAGGAACTAGACCATTCGCTGACAAGCCCCATGGGAGTGTAAACACCGGTTTAAGAAAAAAAAACACCAGTTTGATTTTTTTTTTTTTTCATGGTGTTGTTTCAAACTATTTCACCGTTTTTTCTATTTCTGACACAGCTCCTGAAGGCCAGGCTTTCCCACAAAACTTCAACTTCAAAAGATGCACAGTGAGAAATGTGAACACGGTGGCAGACTGTCTGTTCATATAGAAAGCATGGTTGAGGTTAGGCAGCTAAAACCACATGTTGAGACATGGGGAAATATTCATGACTTCCTGTATTGGTATTGAAGAGAAAGCAAATCACTAATGCAGAATACTGTGGCAACTTCCTGCCACCAAATCCTTAAGTCTTCCTCCCTCCCTGACTGAAAGACAAACCAATTCCTATCATTTCCCCCCTATTTTACTGATCCAGCGTCCACCCACCCCCCTCCGTGTGTCATTGGTCTTGATAATAACACGTTGTCAAAAGCAGGGGGTGTATCCTGTAATAAGGGGTATTAACCCAGAGGGAACAGCTATCATCATGATTTGGAGGTTTTTAGAGAGCACATGTACTGTACATGGTGACAAAGGGAGAAAAGCGAAGAAGACCCAACAGGGAGCCTCTTATCTTGAATAGGAATCTGACTCACACAACATCTGTACAAAGGATTTAAAGGATTTGTGAGGCCTTGAACTGCTATTACAGGCATTTGAATGTGACAGAAAGATTTAACCGCTGATTTTTTTCTGCTTCAGGAGGGACTCATACAGAAGCCTAGTATTAAATATTTATTATAACAACCACAGGCAATGAAGTGTATGTAGGAAAATCTTAAGTAAGGTTATGAGAGCAACCTTTTGCACACTTCAGTCTGTATAGCTCATTAGGGTATATGTCAAGTATGATCACAGTGAACCCACCCCCTAATCAGTAAGCTTGTTCAGAGCATGTTACATATATATTCCATACAATTTGCATCGAAATTACTTACATTTTATTGAAAGTTTGAATCTCGCAAGCATCAAATATATGCTTTTCTTTATGGTGAAATCTCAGCCTCTCTTGCTCTCTTTATTGCTCACACACACACACACACACACACACACACACACACACACACACACACACACACACACACACACACACAAAGTAGCAGTGAAGCAGAAGGGCAAAGCATTGACCCTTCCCTTTCGATTAATGATTTCTTCTTCCCAAACTCCTCTTCTTTCTGGTGGGAGGCATCTGCACCACTACTCTCTTTTTCCAACACACACACACACACAAGCACACACACACACACACACGCACGCACGCACGCACGCACACACGCACATGTTGTTGGAGGAATCATTTGCATATGCATATTGCATGGGGTTGTCATAATAGGACTCATCATTTACCTGAATGGTGCTTAATTGCGCGTCACTGAGGCATTTAATCCCAACTGCCTCATCATTACAGGCTGAGGAACCCAAAATCCAAGATCATGCAACTACAACACTTTGCTCGTCGTCCTCTCTCCACCTAAACTGATTCTCCACTATCGCCCACCATTTCCTGCACAAGCAAGCAAACTATTGTTAGTGCAGTAAATTGAAACACACTGTTTTTTTTTTTGCCAGGGTTTCTTTCTTTTTCTTTTTTTTTTCCTTAACTCTGAGCTGAGAGATGTGGCAGCAAGCTTCTCTGAACGCCAGAGAGCCCATCAATAATGCACACACAGCTTGTTATAGCTCAAACTCACTCTGCTTCGATGGCTCACCAGCCCAAAACCCAGCATCAAAGACCAGAGAGATGTGTGTCTGTGTGTGTTCCTGTGTTTTTTTTCCTGTGTGTGTGTGTGTGTGTGTGTGTGTGTGTGTGTGTGTGTGTGTGTGTGTCTGAGAGGCAAAAGGCGTTGAAAGCCTTGACTTCAAAACCTTTCCTAATGGGAAGAGGTGTGACTGTTTATTCTCACCGAACTTGCACTGTGGGGAGAATCATTTGGCAAAGGCTGATTTCTTTAACACTTTTCTCTTAAAGGAAATACCTTTGTAGTGAAAAATAATAAAGAATGAGACTAAGATTGAGGCAAAGGACACGTGCAGGCACTGTGTGAATATGATGTAAACCTTTGAATCTTTAACATCCAGTACTTTGTGAGGAATGAAGCAGAGGGAGGGGAGAGGCTGAAAGCAGCCATGCGCGTCAATGTGAGAGAGGTTTCTGCCTCTGATGAAATGATGTTGGAGCAAGAGACGTGTCTAACTCATACGCACCACCATGCATATACTGTATAGGCTGGTGTATAACCACACACACACACACACACACACACACACACACACACACACACACACACACACACACACACACACACACACACAAAAACACAAATTAACCTCAATCTGGTGCTAGAAACCGTAGATTGTTTCATTCTCTGTCTTATTTTGACAAATTTTTGATCCCTCGAACATACGAGAAAGTTTTGCTGTATTATATCACAATATGTATTAGTTTATTAGTCTAACCCATAACAGCTTTTCCAATGATAAGAGAGAAAGAGAAACGCCTGCATGCACGAATCAATGTCAAATTCTGCACATTGTCCCTCAAAATACACTCAAATCAATGGATTCATCAAAAATAAAAAAAATAAAAAAAACCACACAGCTTTCTGTAAAGATTCTTGGTGGAAAGATTCGATTAACTTTCTTGACTTAACAAGGAAAACAAAGCCTCTATCCCCACCCAGAATCTGCTGCTTTCGCCCCTAACATAAGGCTTTTTTGCACTGATTTAAGAAGTTGTAATTGTCTGAATTTACTCTTGATCACACTCTCACTCAACAAGCCTAACTAAACCCCTCAGAAAGGGTGGGGCGCCGTCACAACTTTTCTAGCACGCAGTCTTCACACCGAACTTTCCTGACCGCCGGACGCGCTCTGCGCTCTCTGCGGACGCCTCAACTCACCTGCAGGAGACGGTGATCTCTACTTTGGTGGCGGGGATGTTGCCGGTGATCGGGTCGAAGTCGTACACCGATGACATGTCCTCCAGCTTGTCCATAACGTCTCCTTCCATCATCTCCATCGCCAGAGCTCGGGGTGGCTCGGGTCTGATCCGAGAGGCGCACAGCCTGGCCCCGACGGAGCGCGTCGAGTCTCCGGTGACTCCACAGACCAGATCAGAGACCAGACGGCCTCCGGTCCGACCGGGTGAGGCAGCCACTTCACCAATGTTGAAGCTGGAGAAGATGGAGAGGGAGGAGGGAGCACTGAGTGAATGGACACCCGCACAAGGCAGAGGCGCACTTGGTTACTAACTGTCCATGCAACGTAAAAAAAAGAAAAGAAATGCAGGGACAGTAAATGAAATTACTGTTGCGCCCTCACCGAGCGGCTACACATCACATGGAGAGGTGGACTGTTCTCTGCGCTTTGTCTTCAGTCTGTGCGCACAGCAGAGCGTGTGAAGAGAAAAGACTAGATACACTCAAACCCACCCATCCTCCTCCCACACTGAATTACACTCAAGCGCTGGCAACCCTGCCCATGCCCCAGTGCTGCTGCTGTCACCCTGCAACATCCTCTGTGTACGATTCACGGATAGAGAGAGAGAGAGAGAGAGAGAGAGAGAGAGAGAGAGAGAGAGAGAGAGAGAGAGAGAGTGAGTGTTCGAGTGAGTGTCATGGTAATGGAATTACGCACTAAAGCTATTTAATATTGAAGACTTTCTCTGAAGTGGTAGAAACATCTAGCGTGGAAACCTCCATAACGATGAAATAAAGATCAGCTTGTCATGTTGCCGAGCAGTGGTTCCAAACTGGTGGTTGGGACCCCCCAGTGGGTCGCAGAATAAACCGAAGGGGTCTCGAAGTGGTTAACAAGGTATGAAATCAGAAAAACATATTTCTCAGAATTTCTTTCTTTGCATTTTTCAATTTTTCAATTATTTGATAATTTTACATCGGCAGCATCCATCAAAGTATTTCTAAAAGTTTATCTGAGATGGAAGAATTGCTTGAACTGCTCTCAGCCTATGGCAAGAGGTCTCAAGTAGAAATAGCTTTGTTTCAGTTGGACTCAAGCCAAAAAAGTTTGGAAACTGCTGCTCTGGAGCGACTTTGGGAGGGGGCAAAAAAAAGACAAGATTTCAGCACCACAGCTCTGGACAGCTCCCAGAACAAACCATTCAGCTCAGTAATGGTGAAAAAAGTACAGACAAGTTTTAATAAACTCCTTTAGCCTTTATACTCACTGAGCAGTAATTGTACATTCTACCAAAGATGTTAAATCCAAATGGATTTTTGAGTTAAAGTTGTAAATAGGTCAAAACTATTTTTCCTTTCCTATTGTCTGGAGTTTTCTGTGGTGGAGGCATGCACAGGACATTTTAAGAAATGCAGTTACCAATTAAAATGTGTTCATGCTGGCTGATTTAAAATCAATATTAATTACAGGGAGGGAATTACATAGAGATTTAATGGCTACCATCCATCATTAGCCTGTTGTATGCAGCTAAGACCTGCCCTGTAAACCACATTGTAATGAATATGCTAAACTGGTGGAGCTGCCTGCCAAGAAAGTGATGGGTTTGTCATTTTTGGATAAGTATGGCTCCTAAATGCAGGCACTGTGTGTATGTGTGTGTGTGTGTGTCTGTGTGTGTGTGTGTGTGTGTGTGTGTGTGTGTGTTATCCTTTCTCCATCGCCTCAATGTTTTATCTCACTCGGTCTGGATAAACCAGTGACTTACACACAACTACTACACAACTGTTTGCATCTGGAGAGAAATCACTTTTTATGAACTTTTAAAACTACAGTTGTCACTTTTGGTCAATATGGAAACAGAGACATCTGTTTTCCTGTATCATTGTACATTTTCTGTCTGTTTCTCTCTCTCTCTTTCCCTCTCACTCATTCTCACATGCACATCACACACACAGGGATGCACACAGCTATAAACCATTTTACCTCCTTTCATAAATGGGTGCAGAAGCACACAGCTCTTTCCTGCATAGAGCACCTAGCGTCTGGATTCTGGAAATCAATTTACCCCGGCACAGGATGCTTCTGCCCACACAACCCTCCAGCTGAGGATCAAGAACACACACACACACACATAGGCATACACACACACAGACACACACATAATCTTTCTTTCAGACATACGCACCAATGGGCACATATAAATACAAATTATTTTCTCATATGTCACATAACCATCCATAAACAGAGATAAAGAGGCAAACACATCTACATCTACACACCCCCTTTTCTCTACAGGATGATTCATTTATTTTAAGGGCTTGCTGTTTAGTGTGGGTGAGCACGTTATTGCAGATGTTCCAAGGAGTGGGTTGGCAGGAGTAGGGCCAGAGGACAAAAAAAAAAAAAAAAACTGAGGAAGGGGAGGAAGATGACCCACAACAGCTATTTTGCCTTGAGAAGAAACCCACAGTATCAGAAATGGAGGGAAGTGTTTTTCACATATTCCCTCAAACTGAGATTCCAGATCTCAAAGGTAATGTAGAGGGACCCCTGTTGAAAGTGAGTAATACATTTTGCCCCCTGAATATTGATAAACACAATTTTTTTGAATTATGTAATATTGAAGGCCTGTGTCGTCTCTTCATACAGCATGTGTGTTCCTGTTATTGTCAGTCATTTTAAACCTAATGGTGTAAAAATCCACCAGGGTTAATGTAATGTTACTTTTGAGCACTCCTACAATCAAACCAGCTCTACAACGAACAGCACTCCAGTCAACTGTTGACGATTGAAAATAATTTACCTTTATTAATGCTGGGAAAGATCCTGTGTTAAAAGGACTGGTTGAGACCAAAGATTGATTTGGGTATATTCACTTTTTTTTATCTGGCAGCATCAAATGGATCTATGCAAAATTGCCAGCAGACTAAGGTGTATATTTCTATATTTGTTGTGTGATAAACAAAAAAGAATAAAACTGTTGGAGACAATTTTTTTTTTGATTTTGAGAGCTGATGAATCACACAAAGCTGGTGTCAGTTCCTAAGAAACAAAAACTGTCATCCCTGTTTTTCGGAATGTCTTAAGGTGACCTCCTGCTGAATGATCAATAACAAAGGCCTACAAAACGCTGGATATCTCCTTTAAATGCTATTGCCAGCCAATTGCGACGGACCAGGAGGTGGTCAATGCTTTGTACTGCTGGTGACATTAATAACACCATAGGGGATTCAAATGTCCCTTTTCCTCCGTCTCCGTCCTATTCTCTCAGCTTCCTGCAGTTTCCTAAGCACTAATTACTGTGTTTACGCTTACTTGCGTCATGCTGTCCAAAAATATCGCCTTTCTGGAAGCAATTATACAAAAACAGACAAATGCTCTGTCAAGCAAGTGAAGTTCCTTACAACTAAATGTGTGAATTTTTTTTCTCACCTACCTTGAAAATATAAACATTTGTTTACTCCTTTCTGCTCATTTTTCTATTGCTTTAACATTATTTTAAAAAGAAACCCAATAATATCCCCAAATGAATACATTTTGGATGTCCAACCTCAGGCCAATTCCTAAATACAGGAAGTGGTCTGTAAATTCTAGTTAATTATGGAATGTGTTGGTATTTTCAGCTAGCCTGTGACGCATGCTTTTAAAATGCAGTCTTCTTGAAACTGGATATCAGGTCCCTACGTCTTTATCAAACCTAATATTGTGGCTGCTGGTGGGGGTAATGAAAAGGATCAGTAGGCTGATGGCAGTACAGTTGGTATTTGGTGTTCTTCTTATACTCACTTGTAATTGGCCAAATGCGGATGATGTGATTTCATGCTGAAGTCTTTCCAGTGCGCAGTCAGACAACACTGAACGCACTCTATCTAAAATATCAATGGTAATTTTATGATTTTGGTGTCTCTATGTTACAATCAAGGAACAAAGGCATTTCTATACACTCTGCATAATAGAGGAAGAAAAATATTACCCACCCAAAAACCCACAATGCACTGCAGCCTGAAGTACTGTAATGTCGCATCTTAAATGAAGAGTTTAATTACTTTTTCTCAAAAACTTCAAGCTCAGTATTCAGTTGGTGTTTTCAGGTGTGTTTCTGTCTAACTGAATAAGGCACATTGAAGCAAAGGCAATACGTGAAAAAATAAAATTAAAAAAGCAGACTTGTTTTAACATTATGAAGCACTGAGGCTAAAAACTCAAGAATTGCCTTTTTCTTAATCTCCTGCACATACAGGACCTCCGCCAGTAACCATATCCAATAACCCCAGAATATCACTTTGATTAATACAATCAATCCACAATTTCAATTATAGGATACAGAATCCAAAATATCATTCAAAAACATAGTAGATGATGTGCTGAAATTTCCCACTGCAAAAAAAAAAACTGTTTATCACTACAAACAACTCTCCATCAGAGAGCCTGACTAACAGTAGTGTGCTCAAAACAGCACCAGGAACAGACTTTTCTAATTTATTATTATTATTATTTGGTACAGCTTAAGCTAACACCAATGAGCTCTGATTCATGACTGAGCTGGATTTAATCTGACCGCTGAGACTTTGTGTTTCTCTGTGGGTGCCTCACTTGTACCCTGCAGAGAAGTTGGGGGTTTGATAAACCCCAGTTCAAAAGGGCCACATGTTCCCTCCCATTGTGTAATCCTGCTCTGTGGCCCAGTGGTTTAATCCAGAATCAAACCCCTCCTGAGGTGACAAACATCCATGAGAAACCCTCGATGAATGATTGCTCTGACACTGACAAAGAAAGAGAAGGACCCATAGACAGACACACACATATACAGTATTTATGGAAGGCCACTGCTGCCTGGGTGGTTGATTGACTGGCTAACAGCCCGGCACTCCCTCAGGCTGCAGCAGTGGGGAGTCAAAGAACTGCATTCTGCATTAGAGCTACAAGCAACATAATAATAAAAATAACCACATTTTCACTGAGCAGGCCGACAGTAGATACACAGTCAAACTGATTTTGAACTTCTTGAGTCAACACTTGCAGCTGCCTTTAATCAGATAAGTAGTATCCAAACGTTTTGATGGTATAGTAGTTTTGCTGAGTTTCTGCTGA